TTGTGCAGGGGTATTTTTCCACGGTTACCTTGTCATAGCTGTTAAGATGTCACAAATATGTGAAGGAGTGTCTGGAGAGTCCCTTTAAACATTACCACGTGCATGGCTTACATATATTGAATATAAAAAACACTAATCCATACAAATGGTGCTAAGACAGCAAAAGTTAAAGGGACACTATAGTCACCCAGACCACTTCAGCTCAATGAGGTGGTCTGGGTGCCAGGTCCATCAAGTTTTAACCCTTCACATGTACACATAGCAGTTTCAGAGAAACTGCTATGTTTACATTAGGGGTTAATCCAACCTCTAGTTGCTGTCTTCCTGACAGCCGCATCTGAGACGCTGGATGCGAAATTCAGAATGTCCATAGGAAAGCATTGAAAAATGCTTTCCTATAGACAGTTTGAATGCGCGCGCGGCACTTGCCGCGCATGTGCATTCTGCTCTACTCAGGAGCTGACGTCGGCGGAGGAGAAGTCACCAGTGCCGACGGAGCCTGGCGCTGGATTAAGGTAAGTATCTGAAGGGGTTTTAACCCCTTCAGCGACACGGGAAGGGGACCCTGAGGTTGTGGATACCCTCAGGGCACTATAGTGTCAGGAAAACCGCTTTGTTTTCCTGACACTATAGTGATCCTTTAAGTTTTATTTACTTTTGGGATGTAAATATTTAGGTTCTATTAATATTTCTGAGGTTGATATCTTTAACCATATACTCCTTTTCCACACCCCTCACCATTTAGGAGAAGTTCCTCTTGCTGTGCATCCTGTAACAAGTATATCTCATTGATGTGCCTTTTATTCTTTTGGAATTTGTGAGTGCAATATTATTAAAATTTTGTTTTTTATATTATACACTTTTGCACTATGTCTGTCACTTTATTCCCTTTTATGTACTACCGAGAATACTGGGACACCAAGGATTCCTAACACAGTGATTTGTCCTGCCTGCTAACTACTTGCATCCACTATTTATTACATGGTGCCTTTATTAAATTACACTATGTGATATTTGTATTGTAGATTTTTTTTTGGCTTACATATGTTACGTGTGAATTGATAACACAACATTATTTTACAATTCTAGAAACAAATAAACACACCAGAATAAGAACATTGCCCACTGTCAAAATAGGATTATATTATTTGCCGAACTACACCATGGGCCAGTGGTAAATCTTTATTAAGTGCATTATTGTTTAGCTGATCTAGCACACCTCATGGAGTTGACCCTTTTCCGTTTCTTCCAAGGGTTAGGCACCACACCCATAGCAAAGCAGGGTCAAGGTTACAGGTGAGAGGAAAGCAGGGAGCATGTGTCCCAGAGACAGGAAATAACATCTGGCTCAGTTTCTTGATTGCTTCCCATCTGCTACATTGTATTTTGTATAGTTTGCGCAACAGCTTCACCCACTCACTTAACATTTTCTTCATTTTTTTTTTTTTTTAAAAGACCACAAAACTTGAAAAACAATTATGCTTATTTAATTATATAACTTAAAAACATGTGAATGACAGGGTAAGCTTTAGGTATGTTAATAGAATTAACCTATACATATTCATTAAAATATAAAAAGCGTTTAAAAAGTATGCTTCTACTTCCCTTACAATAGAGTGGATGATGGTGTAACATTATATGAGTGCGTATAACCCATTCACAAATATCATTAACTCCCACTGCGTCTTTTTTTTTTGTTGAAAGTTTTATCTTTCCAAAAGCCTGCATCGCTGGCTGCACTTACACCTATTGGTAAATTATGTCAAAATTTTACTTCGTACATAAGACCGTTTTTCTCCTTGTAACAAACAATAAATCCAGGCACACGTGGTTTGGTCCTCAGCAGACTTTATTTAAGATGAAAGTTGGCAATGTTTTGGCTCAGCAGAGCCTTCCTCAAACTTTCTTAAGCTCCAAGTTTTTCTCCTTAGCCAATCCGGGGTTTTTGCATTTGATACTAACTTAACACTAGATGATTATTCTTGTTCTTGGGTAGAACATTGGCTTAGGGATAGAGTACAATGAGTTGTCATTAATGGTAAATTTTCAGGCTGGACAAAAGTTGTAAGTGGTGTCCCTCAGGGTTCTGTTTTGGGACCGCTTCTATTTAACATATTTATAAATAATCTTGAAATAGGCATTGAAAGCCATGTTTCGGTGTCTGCAGATGACACAACACTTTGTAAAGTAATAAAATGTGAGCAGGATATTGCTTTGCTGCAGAGGGATTTGGATAGATTGGGGGATTGGGCACTAAAATGGCAGATTAAATTTAACATAGAGAAATACAAAGTTATGCACTTCGGAGTCATGAAAGGTTTTTTTTACAGTAAGAGCAATAAGGATATGGAATTCTCTCCCCGAAGAAGTGTTATTATTATTATATCCCTTGCAAAATCGTAACATACAGGGATATCATTTCTAATTAGTGAGGTAATAGATGCTTGATCCAAGGAGACATCTGATTGCTATTTTGGGGTCAAGAAGGAATTTTTTCCTAGTTTGTTGCATAATTGGAAGTGCTACAGACTAGGTTTTTTACCTTCTTTTGGATCAACAGCAAAAACATATGTGAGGAAGGCTGAACTTGATGGACGCAAGTCTGGGAACAGTTCCTCCAAGTAGAGGCATCTCTACCATTATGCTGCCACATCGTGTGGCATCAATTTCATATTCCTTTAACAAATCACTACTCACTAGGATTAATCAGAGTACGCACAAGAGAACTGCCTCATCTTGCCAAACAATTATTGGCATAACGAAATACGTTGTTAGCACAGCTGTCAACAATGAGTATTCATTTACAGGTGAAGAAAGGAAGCAAATTGTTTTATAGAAAATCTATACATTATCTAGCAATTCTGCTAACACAATGTATATAAACACACACATCGAGCAGTTGTTTTTTTCACTTTTTTGGTTGTTTCTTTTTTATTTTGCCACTTTTGTGTTTTAGATAAAAATGCTTATATGTGACCAGAAAATATAACAACAATGTCATACTTACTGTGCTTGCATCCGGAGTAATCAGGAAGCCTAATTTGCTATTGTTTATTCCTTATTCATTGTTAAAGACTACATTGTTTGCAAACGGCTGCAGTTATAAGCAATTTTGTATAAGTGCAATATGCATAGGTTGTTAATGTCACTTTACTCTACAAAGACGCAGTCCACACTACCAAAAAATTCAGCATTATACCAATGTTACTATAGAGCAGGGGACCTTTTTTGAAATTAAGTAAACAGCAATAGCTTGGCTATCCATTCTACAGACCATCTGATTGGCACAGTGTGGCATTTTGCCACACATTTGCACTAGCTTCATAATGCTTTCCTGTGGAAAAACATTGGATTGGCTGAGATCACTGATCTTGATGATCTCAGCCAAAGAAGATGAGCTTCCCCAAGAAGACCAGCAAGGGAGCAAAGTAAGGTAAACCAACGTTTTGTTTCCTTCTTGCAGGTGGGTTGGTACTCTAAAACTCATCCTGCTATTTAAACAGCTCACATTTGTTTCCGTTGCCAGTTTTATGTCAAATTGGCATTATCCTTTACAGAATATGTGCCACTGACATTATCTTCTTCCATACATGTGGAAACATGTACCTGTCACCAGCCTGAACTGCATCCTGTTCCCAGATATTGCTATGTTTTCAGTTGCAGGGTTAAAATTAGGGGGACCTGGCACTCCTTTTAAAATTAGGGGGACCTGGCACTTTTTTTTTTAACTGAAGTGGTCTGAGTGCCTATAGTGGTCCTTTAAGGCAGTCAATAACTGACAGCAGTAACCAATATCCTGGTATTTACATGCATAGAAGGGACCAAAGAACTTGCATTTCTACAGCACTTTTGCACATGCCATAGTAAAGAATTGAAACAGAACGCACATGATATTATGAGCAGGCATGTTCACTTCTCCTGATGTGTCTTAAAATTAATCTGTCTTGGCTGTAATTTTAAATCGGCTCTGTCACCCCCCAAAAACGAGCATTTCAAAATATAAAACCTTTATAAAATGCTCTTAAAGACTGTGCTAGCATTTCACTTAAATTGCAACCCAGACAAAAGGTATCATAAGACTACTTTGTCTTGTGTATTTTTCCTTCACTTGACAATGGGTGGAGCTACCTCAAGTCACGTCTTGTCAAACCCTGAGCCGTAAAACAAGAATCTTTCTTGCGGGATCCTCTGTAGACATCAGTGTTGTACATTCACGCATGCGCAAAAATACAAAGCTGACATTGGCTCCTGGCAGATGAAGCATCAGGAACAAAAGCGGACCTTGTGGAAGAAGACGGAGGTACTGCGATCGAACAGGTTCAGTTAAGTAAAACCTACCGTCCCCTACACCACAGTCACTGGAATGGACCATCCGGGGTCTCTGCATCATACATTTCCCTATAGAGTAACTAGAAATATTGCTAAGTTGAAGAATTATGCCAACATCACTCCTCTGGCCTTATTAGAAACTTTACATTTTAAATTCACTCACCAGCGAAAAGAAACACGCTAAATGCCTTTAATGACACATAGGGGAGCCATGTTTTAGAAATCCTAGGGTTAAACCAAAATAGTAATGAAATAGCTTGATATTCCCTGGGATGGCTAAGACATCCATCCAACCATAAAATGGTTCAATGATTTGATAAATAAGGCATAAAATAATTGAATTGCAGCAAAATTAAACCAAAATGCAAAGTTCAGACTAAAACAGTTTTGTTTGTTTTTTAGCAAGAATTCTCAAAATTTATTATAGTCACAATTTGACTATTTTAGCTTACATCTCGCTAGTTAAATGTCAACTGGCTAACATTCAGAGTGAATATCTCCCATTTCCAGCACTAGCATACAAGTCATGGATAAACAGATTCATTTTACAGCACACTGGTAGGATGTAGGGAGTTTCCACATCTTCGCTCTTCTTGTAAAGCATGTGCCTAGTGCAGTATGGGAAAGGGGGGATTCTTCTTTCTGTTTTCCCTTTATTTAATGCATGTCTGGGCAAACTCTCTGCAACGCCTCTCTTTACAAATTTTCTAAAAAAAAAAATATTTATGTGCCTCACAATCTATATCTATTTAGTTTCATACAGTGAAACTGTTGTAAAAAAAAAATCATTTTTATTTATGTCACAACATACAAACACAGTAATCCATCACCAGATATGTAAATCACAGTTTAAGGAACAATATTCTTTCACTTGGCATGTTAAGCTAAATATCGCAGCCTTTGAATTACTACAACTCCTATCACCCACAGCCACACAGAGTCTGGCTGACAATGCAGGAAGCGGTTGTTAAAAATAAACCAAACATCTGCAGCGCATCTGGTCAGATCGGACCCAATCCATCCAAGCAGGCAGTCAACGGATTAATGATACATCTCGTGCAATAATAAGTAGAGGATCTCACCTGATCAGAGCACAGACAGGAACGCCATACAGACAGCACCCACACGATCCACATCCACCTCATCCTGAGGGTCTACTCCCACATCAACCAAATAATCCTTCACAGCTACTTGCTGACCAGTTCTTGCTATCGCTCCAGCGACACTCTTCTCCAGAATTCGAACACTCCAATTCGACCGTTCGCAATCGTATCTCCGCTAGATCAGCTCCTCTCTCATGCCCCTCAACTGCTATTACAACTATGTCTGGGTCCAGAGTTTGAATAAACTGACATCACTGCAGTTTTGTTGATTTTAATGTTATCTAATCCTAATCAAAAAGTTTGCTGTCGTTTTGTTTAAAGTGTCTGATCGCCCCCCAGTTCGAATTGTGAATGTCCCTACGCTTAACCTTCTCCCAGCCCGTGCAGCCAGGAATCAGAACAGGGAAGGAGGGGCTTCCGGGTTTTTATTTTGATGCATTTTTTTGTCTCAGTTACACGTGAACTTCTCAGGCGTGTTATTAAAGGGACACTCTAGTTCCCAGAACAACTGCAGCTTATTGTATTTGTTCTGGTGAGTATAGTCAGTCCTTGCAGACTTTTTAATGTAAACACTGCCTTTTCAAAGAAAAGGCAGTGTTTACATTACTGCCTAGGAACCCCTCCAGTGGCCACACCTCAGGAGGCTACTAGAGGTGATTCCGGGGTCAGTGCTGCAAAATGTGAAGTGCTGATGTTCAGCGTCTCGATGCTCTGCATGGAGGCGCTGAACATTCTCCATAGAAAAGCATCAATGTAGTGCATCTCTATGAGGAGATGCTGATTGGCACAGCGTGATATTTTGCTGCGCATGTGCAAAGCCTCCCAGTGCTATCCTATGGGAAAGCATTGGATTGACTGAGATCATCTAATTTGATGGTCTAAACCAAGAAGGCAAAGCGGGGACAGAGCCAGCCACAAGGAGATTAACAAGGCATTGCAAAAAAGGTGAGTCAGTGGCCTAAATGGTGTTTTCACAGCTATAGTGACAGAAATGCATAGTTTTTTTTCCTGTTACTATAGTGTTCTTTTAATTCTTCCTGAAAGTTACCCCGTAGCCCACATCGATTTTCTCGATGCCCAGCCCTACCCCATGATGCCACAATCCTGTTAATATAGTGTGGATCTTATTATTATACTTTATAAAGTGCCAACCAATTACCAGCGCTGAACTGTAGAGGGACTAAAAAACACATTGTTGCATCAGGACAAGTTGGACAGGAACAGAAGCTGCTTAGGGCCCTACTAAAACAAGCTTACTTTTTATATATGCGGTTATTCATACCGGTTTGGGCAAACCATTCACTGCTGTACAGGGCCATCTTGACTATAAAATCCAGACATTGTTCCATTGACATGGAATTGAACAATGTCTGGATTTTGTAATTCAAGTCCCAAATTTATCTGAATTTGGTCTGGATTTCAGCTGGACAGAACGCTGTTGGATGGGTGAAATCTGGACCCAGATTTTTTATATAGTGAGCTTTAAATATGCTATGGCTGGACAACGCTTGCTAGCCAGCCACCATGTTGGAAACGTTTAAATAAAAATAAATAGAATTCCCACGGCGGTCAGTATGCCACCCATATTACTATAATGGACGTTTTAAATCTCCATATGTCCCCAACAGTTATGATAGTTACACCTTTCATAAAACCCTATATGCATACAGATAGCCAAGCCTCCCACTTTGCAACTTTACTAGAGGATATACAAAGTGCCACCACCCCCACTTCTCGTGGCTGGTTCCCCACAGCACACGATTTTGCCCACTGTATATGGGCCTTATTTACTGTTCTCATTTCAA